TGTGTGTGTGTGTGTGTGTGTGTGTGTGTGTGTGTGTGTGTGTGTGTGTGTGTGTGTGTGGGAGAGAGAGTGTGTGAAAAATACTTTTTTAGTCAAAATGAGTCTAAACATTTTGCAGTGAAAATATCTTGTTGCAGATCTCATGCTATACAGTTTCAAACAAACAGAAGATTGTTTTTGGTACTGGGATGCATTAAACTGATCAGTGAAAGTGAAACGGTAGCTCAAAATGTAGCAAAGCATAATTTCCCTGATTTAAACACATTTTGTAAGTTTATTATAGAGAGGAAGTTCAAACGTCTGGGTAGTGGATAAAAAAAGAGAAATGCTGGCATGCACCTTTCAAATCACTTATTCATGAACCACAATAAAAGTTTTCACAGTGTATAGAGGCAGATGTTATGACTGAAGTCAAGTTTAAGGACAGTGCAGTTTGGCAGATGTTTGGGTCATGGTCTCACCGCAGCACTCTTCCCTGGGAAGCTGAAAAAGGAATCTGGGCCAATTCTTTGAGCCATGCACTTCAACACGGACAGCAGCTTGATGGCATGAGGAGGCTAATAGATAAAGGGAAAAAAGCAGCATTTGAACACTTGAACAAAAACTCACACAAATAAATACTTGTAGTTTGACTGCAGTGTTTATCCTACAAACATAAAATATTCTGCATACCACAAGTATTAAAAGAAAATAATGTCACAAATTATTTTGGCTAGTCTGAATCCTACTTATGTTGTGTCCAATTTGAGAAACATCTTCTGGATTTAGACATGGATTAGACATGGATAGACATGGAGGTAAACCAACCTAAAACATATCCCAAACCGAGACGTATTTGGTCCATCAGCAATACAAACATCAAACAACAGAGTCATAATAATGGCTTCTGCCCATAGGTTGTAAGATACAGACACACATGGATGTGTGCTCTCCTACTGCTCTGACATGTTTTTTCACACTCTGATCAATGGCACTGACACAGTTCCCCAGTACAGAAACAGCCTAATGCATCAAACCCTACAGCCTTTTCACTGTCTCAACACCTCCCTCATGCACTGAAGACTGCACGGAGAACAAAGACATACATTTAATCTATTTCATATATTTTAAAAAAATGGACATGGATTAGACATGGATAGACATGGAGGTAAACCAACCTAAAACATATCCCAAACCGAGACGTATTTGGTCCATCAGCAATACAAACATCAAACAACAGAGTCATAATAATGGCTTCTGCCCATAGGTTGTAAGATACAGACACACATGGATGTGTGCTCTCCTACTGCTCTGACATGTTTTTTCACGCTCTGATCAATGGCACTGACACAGTTCCCCAGTACAGAAACAGCCTAATGCATCAAACCCTACAGCCTTTTCACTGTCTCAACACCTCCCTCATGCACTGAAGACTGCACGGAGAACAAAGACATACATTTAATCTATTTCATATATTTAAAAAAAATTTAAGTAAATTGTTGCGAAGGCCATTTCAAAGAACATCATAACAAAAATTAAATAAAACATTAGCTTTATTTAAAACAACTGACAGCCCTAGTACTTCACAGCATATGACTGCATGTGAGGTGGAGAGACGAGGTGTTTCTCAAAGAGTAGATAAAGAGGAGAAAACCATTACCCATTGGCCTTGTTCTCCTTTCAGTTTACTGAAGAACAGCTTCAGTTCCTTCACTGTGATACTGTAGCTGGCCAGCACACCTAGCATGTCCACCATCAGATCTGAAAAACACCACACACAAACATGAGGTGAATGTTGTTACAACTGAAAAGATATAAAATAAATAAATATAAAAAAAATTAAATATTTGGTTTCAGAGATAATATTTGTGAGTAGGGGTGTAAGGATTTACATAGTCGAATCAGAATTGTCGAATCTTGCAGATAGTCGAATCATATGTTTAGGGGCGGGGGGCAAAATGCATTACATTTGACAGACATAAATCCTAACCCTAACAGAGGGAAAATGTGTAACGGATGCCTCGCAAATACAAACGGTAAATATTGTTTTATGTTTCGATTAAAAGATAGTTAACGTTAGCCAGCCGCATATCATGTTGTTTATTAGCTACTTATCAGAGCTGATGAAACTGAAGATTAAATAAAACGAAATAATCTACACATAAGATGAAATCAACAGATTTATTTGTTGTATTTGTTGAAGCCTGTGTGCATGTTTACTCTCACTACATAAAGATTTCACGGAGGAAATTAACAAATATCCAGCAAATTTTTTTGGCTTTGAAGCCTAGCCTACTGCCACATAAAACTCCATGCAATCGCATAAATATGAGCTGCTGTGAAAACTGCTCAAACACAGCTAGTTTTATCCAGCCCCAGTTCCAGAATTAAATACTGTGTGTGACTTTTGATTTTCTCCAGAGCACAAACACAAATATTGCATTGGATAGTTTGCCAGACCTGTTTCGCCAATATGATAATGAATAGATAATACCTTGAGTTTTTGCGTGGGTTCTCAGCCAGTCGCCCCTATGTTCACAGCATCCAAAAATCAAATTAGAACCGAATGAAATGCTGTTACTCTGCCGTGTCAATTTGAGTCTTGTTAAAGATTTAAATCCCCGCCGCCAAGATGCTCCTGTCGGTCACGGATTATGGAAAGTGAAACTTAAATTTGTCATAGGTGTGGTTGGATTTATTCATGCACGTTAAAAATATTTATTAAAAGCTTCTTTCTTTTCAGATTCATCATAATAGGCTGTATATTAACCTATTGGGAGAAAACTGGTAGTTCTATGTGAAATCAGACACTGAGCACCCCCACATAGCCAAAATGGCACGATCATAACACCTCTGCGAATGTTCGACTGTGAGACTGGTAGTCGAATCAGGCTCCTCCTATTGAAGCATCGATTCTTCGACTATTCGGGGTCACCCCTACTTGTGAGTAACAATTTTTGTATAGGAATGTTATTTGTGTTAATGTTTTGCAGCATCAGAGAAGTTGTTAAAGCAAGTGCTAAAGCATTGAGGACATGTAAAATCATTGTTCTGTACAAACGCTGAGAACACCTGTGATCAAACTGGAGTTAAGCTCCATCATGGTCCAAAGACGAATAATGAATCACTAAAACTGTACTTGCACAATGTCACGCTGCACAATCTATACTAATTAAAACAGTAATGTTGTCGCTATAATCAAATCTATATACTGCATATATAAATCTATAAAATATATATAAACATCTATAAAATATATATTTAGAATACCTTGATATGCCTTGATATGATCTTTGTGGCTGATTACCAGTTGTGAGTTTTTTGTGTCAGTGTTGCAATGCTAAAGCACTACATGCCGACTGAGCAATGACAGACTCATCAGCCAAGTGCTAAACTGAGAGCATCATAAGTCATCATTTTGCATAGTATTATAAAAATTCTTTAGATTCTATGTATTTAGTGCAGAGTTAATTTAATGAATTTTAACAATACATATATGCTGATGTTCCTGCCAGTATAAAATTACGCAAAATTGCCCTGTGAGTATGACAGCATTAATATAAAGGATGTATAAAGATATATAAAGAGATGTTTAGTGGCATCCCTAATTTAAACATCAGTAACAGTAAAGTCCGTAATCTTTGATTTATTTATTTTTTTAAGAAATTAATACTTTTATTCAGCAATGAAGGTGTTTATAATGTTACAAATGATTTCCATTTCAAATACATACTTTTCTTTTGAACTCATGTGACACTGAAAACTGGTGAAATGGCTGCCAAAAATTCAGCTTTGCCACCACAGGAATAAATGACATTTTAAAATGTAACAATATTACTGTTTTATTTTATTAATTATATTGTTATATGATTTCCAAAAAAGGTATTAGAGTGTCACTTATTTAACATACCTGCGATCATGGTGTCGGCCCGGTCTATGCACTGAAGCACCAGCTGGATGAAGCCGATTTCTGTGCAGGCCTGCAGGTTTCGCAAGCTCTTTTTCAGCACGGCGGTGAACATACTCCACACTTCAGCTTGGCAAGTGGAATCACATTTATCCAGCAGCTCTACCATGCAGATGATGCTCTCCGTCTCCTGGATGATAAAGTTCATCTCCAGATCGAACTGTCCCCCGACCAGCTGCACAGACACAATTACAAAAGTTAGTCACAAATGGAGTCAAAGCCAGAAAAAACATAATAATAAGAATTTAGAAAATGAGTATCAGTCTGAGGCAAAATGCAAATAAAATCCAGCAGATTAGGAAAAATCCCTTTTCGACACTGCAGAAACAATTCATATTAAATTTAAAACACATTTAAAACACAAAAAAGTTAAATGAATGTAAGTAATAGCAAGAATATTTAGAGTTGCTTTCTATGATGGCAACCTATCAGGTTATGTTGGCTTCAATCCCGACATTAAATCCAGATAACCAAATCCCAGGGCTGCAATTCATGCCAATCCCATTGTAAAACATCTGTCAGCATCTGGATGTAAAAAGCCTCTCCACATCTGGATTACTGTGACAGGATTTCCACCTTACCCCAACACTGGCTCACTTGGCCATGAGACGGTATGACCCCTAGGCTAGAAAGCACTACTCTAATCGCCCATTGTAATGGCGATGGCAGATGCTCCACAGACATGAACTGTAAACCTAGATTAACCTTGAAATGATGAAATCATATGTGAGTGCTACACACTGCGCACAGATAAAAGCCAATGCCTCTGGAAAGCCTTTTCATTTACAAATGCATATTTTGGTAAATGAATATTTTAGGGATGCATCAGTTTATAATTTGTTGGGAAATATTACAAAAAAAATTAAATAAATAAATAATTTAAAAATACATATATCAGCAACAATAAATTCTTTTCTTTTTTTTATTACAAATAAGATTAAAGCATACCCCATTTTTTACATTATTGGGCCGTGTCGGATGTGAATAAGTATATGAAAACTAGCTTGTATAAGAAACCAGGGCTCATGTGTTGTGAGAAACGTGAGAATTTCATTTAACACAGCATGACAAGGATCTCTGTATGAAGGGGGTATTGGTCCTGCAAACAACACAAATAACTTCCTTGTCTCTAAATAAACTGTGCACCGCAATAATTTGTCAGCACTTAATAGTTGTTGAGACATTTTTACTTCTGAACAGTTCTTTATGGCACATGATAAAAAAACAATGCAGATGTCAGGCTTAATATTACTAAGGTGGATGTGGTCATCTCACAGTTATGAGGGTCTGAAAAGATTGCTGTCATTTGCCAGTAGACAGGCCATGACCACAACTTGATCAAGGACTGGAGTACAGTATAAATCCATAGGCTATTGGATAGAAACTGTCCCATTAAAATGACTGAAGGTGAATTAAAGGAAAGGGAGGAGAGGGGGGTTTCACTGTCAGTCTACAGCAACAAAGGCTAACAAGGCAGGAGATAAAAGCCATGATCATTCACACACACACTGTTGCCTCCCTATTGGGCTTCTTCCTTGAATGATAGATTACTTATGGGAATGGCAAAATAAGAAAATGAATGAAATAAATGGATGCATATGATTGGCGGTCCTGCATTTCGCCTCACGTCTGGCCTCTAAAATCACCCTCCCTTCACCACCATAGGCTAATATATCACCACCCCCCTTTAAATTTGCATTCTGGGAAGAGGAGCTGATTGCATTGTGTGGCAGGCAGCACAGAGAACAGCACTCAGATAGATCTGCGGCCACCATGCAGGTGATTAATGGATCTGACATCCTCACAGACTGAAGGGCAGTGAATGTGACTTTGGGGTGATGACGGTATCAGCTCACACAGAGGACACACTGAAAGCGGAAGATGCTGATGTCGACCTTGCGTAAAGCACCTGATTGGCAGAGGATCAGCAGTTAGAGATACACATCAAGGAAGTTAGTTCATGTTCATGAGTATTACTAAAAATAACAACAATTGTCAGAGGTGTTATGATGGATAATAGAAACCTACTTACATTTTTAACTATCTAGTAATAGCATAACATTGCTCTTAAAACAGATGGTAAACTGAAAAAAGAATCTGTGCAATTTTACCTGTAAACTGTAAGATACTTTATTATATAAAGCCTTTAGTTTCTTCTTATTTTTGTTATCAGAAATGTGCATTAGAAAGTTTTGTGTTACATTTTCAGTTATTTAGTTTATTGCATTATTTTAGTGTCATGTGTTACACTGATTGTTGTGTCTTTGTGTGCATGTCCCTGTGCACAGTTTTACACAAGCATTTGCCCTGTTTCATGGACAAGCCACTTACAATTAACTTTTTTCTGTCACTGTTATTATTATGGTGGTTATCAATACAGATTTTGGTAGTTTGCAAGACTAGTATATATATATATATATACATATTAATATCCCTAGCAACCACGACTACTGATATTAAACCATAAAGTCTGGCCATATGATCATAAGTTTGAATAAATTCTGAGGTTTATACATATCTAAAACCTCATCTCTTGCTGTGGTTTCTTGTTTAGCTTGGTATAAGCTTATCAAGTAACACTGAGCTTTGAAGTAGGCTATAATTTAGAACTTCAATATTTTATTAGTCAGTGTGGTTGTAGATAACACTTCATCAAAAGGAAATAATGATTAAAAATGTTTTGATTAATAATGTCTTAGTTCTAATAAATATTTTCAAACACTTAACATCTCCTCAAAATAGTGCATCCTAGATGTATATTACAGATCCATACTTCATTGTAATTAAAATAAAAAAATCCAAGACATACCTGCAAGGTCTTTGGTAAAAAAAATTTTTTTTAAAGCCTTCAAATTAGAGCCAAGAATCCACATAATATCGTGGTCAGGGGAAAACAATACCATTAGACCAAATTAAATTGTACCTGTAATAATACCTGCAAGTGCAAAACGTTCTTTCTAAAAATAGCCAAATCGACTCATTTCATTGTCCCTACAGAAATGAAGAATTAGTAGAAGTATTAATTCAATTGTCTTTGAAAAAATATGTTTTTCTCTTTTACTTTATCATTCTCTGTGACTCTGCTCTGGAACCCTCCTGGGGAATGTGGGCAGCTCACACTTCCAAATCCTCTGTTATATCCTCCTAGCTCTTTATCAGTAGTGATCAGAGACCACAGAGGATTTATTTGGGTTTCTTTCCCATATCTGTTATTCTCACACTGTTTCTCATACAAAGACTCTGTACTAGCTGATGATGCAGTCACCAGATCCCTCAGAAGCAAACCGAGCCCTGCGTTTCACCTCTGAGGGCCCAGTGAATCAATAATGGGTGAACAGCTCTTGGTCCAGGGCTGACAATAACAAGAGCTTTTCTCCATGGTGAGGTGAACTACACCAGGGACAACCACGCACACTTTACATACAGCTTCCAGTTGCTGGCTAACATCTTATTTTAGCACTACAGAAATCAGGCTGGATCTTAAACACTTCTCGAAAATCTCTTTATTAAAGTATTTCCAGTTTTTTAGTGCAAGATTTGTAAAGAAAAGACACAACAACAAATGAATAAGCTACTTGCGATAGCAGTACCAAAGACAGCATGTGTTTTTATTCATCCATAACTCATTATCTGTTGCAGCCCATTAAGTCATCTGAAGAGGAAGTACACATTTCAGGTCGCCTTGAATAAAACCATTACAAATAGATTAATCAGAACAGACACTATACTCTCTCTTTCATTAGTCAATGTTTATTTTCTTTGGATGACTCAGGGCCAGTTAAAGGGGTACTCCACCCTAAAAAGAAAATTCCCTCATCATTTACACACCCTCATGCCATCCCAGATGACTTTCTTTCTTCAGATGAACACAAACAAAGTTGCAGAAAAACAGTCCATCTTTTTGAGTCCATATAACTGGGGTTTTATAGAATACCATCGTGTTCGCTATAATTGATGTGGTTTTTAAAGCATCAACTTGCATTGAATAGACTCACAGAGATGGATAATTTATCTAAAAATCTTTCTTTGTGTTAGACAATTGTCATTTCTTCCATTTTTTAAGATTTATTTTTGGCATTTTTGCCTTTATTTTGATAGGACAGATCAGAGCTGACAGGAAGTGAAGTCGGAGAGAGAGGTGGGCGGGATCAGGACAGGTCCTTGAGTCGGGATTCGAACTCGGGACGCCTGTAGTGTAAAGGCGCTGTATGTCAGCACCACTGCCCACAAGTAAGGATGGGCATTCCAAGCAAAAATAATATTTGCATACTGTTACATAACATGCGTTCTCTTTCTCAACTATTTAACGTTCCAAAACTGACTATGTTTAACTGGATACTCGCCAAAACGGGCATTTTGACATAATTTTGTATGTATTTGACCATTTTAGCACAGTTAGCCACTCATTTTGGTATTTGTGGCTCACAAGCTGTTTGAGACTGAGCGCGGCTTGTGCGCTCCACTAATATAGATCAGTGGTGGTGCGCGAGCTTTTTGTGTAAGCGCGAAACCTGCGGGAATGACTAAAATAATGGGCAATACAAGCACTATTTAACCGGAGCGAATGAGACGTGTGTGTGTGAGAGAGAAGGGGTCGTCATAGAGAAGAGAGCGAGAATGCGCGGCTGACGTTATTGCCTGTGCCGCTGCCCGCTGGTAACAAAACGGATCGGCTCGGAATCGGAAAGAGGTTAGACTGATCCGATTCCGATCCCTGGCCGATCGATCGGTGCATCGCTATCGAAAATCGTGACCCATCCCTACCCACAAGGCTATCAGCTATTGTGACCACAGTGATGCCTCTGAATGTGAGCCAGAGAAGGACAAAACTACAGAGATGACAGACTAGAGAGTGAGAGGGAATGAGCAAATGGAAAACAAATTTATGAGAAAATCTGTTTAGGCTGAAAATGTGAGGGCATAATCTCCAACATACACCAGACAATTGCGGGAGAAGCATTTTAATTTTTTACATTTGCAAGTCTAATTAGTTTAACGCTCAAGTCCCTGCCCTTGGTTTTCCCAAACACGAGTGAAAGCTTTCCCTGAAGTAAATATGTAATTCTTGCTGTTTTCTAATAGTGAATTATGATCAAATAAATAAAAAAGCATATCACTGATCAGAACAAAATGTAGCATCTATAATCTAATGTACAAAGTGTGCAAGCTATTTAA